CATACCATTTCAGTCTAATAAAGTGCAAGTTTCAAACGGCTACAAAATCGCGTTGATTTTTGAGAACTAGTTTTTGGGGACGGATTTTTGAACTTTTTTCACATAATTATGAATTTCTCATGAAATAAAACACGAAAGACCGTCAGCAACAAAATTTCAAAATATCAACTCAAGTTTTTGCAAATTGCACTTGCTATATTAAGAACCCCGAGAAAGTAGCCTCCAAAAAAAAAAACTATCAAAAATCTACGCGATTTTTCATCCGTTTGAAAATTGGGCTGCATACCCAAATTTTCTAAAAATTCAGAATACAAAATTTAAATTTTGATGAAAATTTGTTGAATTTTCCTAAATTTTGTATAAAATTAGAAACTATGATTTACACGGTTTTGTTTAGAGCTTAAACGATATTATTATATAAAAATAACAAAAAAAAAATCGCTGCAAAAATATTACGAATATTTAAATAAAAAACAATACGTGGTCATTCCTTTGAGTCACTGTATGTATGTGATTTTTATACAAAAATTATCAAACCGAACTCCTTTGTTAATTATGTATAAATTAAATATATCTAAAAAAAAACTCAAATATAAAAACATTCATCACACATCAAATTTTTTTCACTTGATAAAAATAACTGAAAATAAATTTATGTATCATCGTTTGTCATCGTTAAAAAGGGAATTTGGAGGTTATTATTGTTGTAAATCAAAATAGTGTGAAAAATAGTTAGAGCCAATAGTGGAAAATGTAAATTGAAAATTCCACTCAAATTAAAAATTTAACATAAATCGAGTAAAAAGCGTATTGCAGGCAAGAGGATAAATAATTTAGATGAATCGGTAGTAGTTATGCATATATATTGTATGTGTACATATGTATGTATGTATGTATGTATGTATTTCCATTAAAGAACTGAATTTTAACTAATATTTCAAAAAATGTGGTAGCACTCGAATATGACAGTAAACTGATAATTGTTTATTATGAAAAGCAAACAAACTAAAACACATATTTGTAATATAAAAAATTACAAAAAAAAAATTCTTAGAAGAAGCAAGGCCGTCGCATTTTTGTGTAAAAATTAATTTTCATAGATGCATGGATGTTAAAAAATAGGTTTGCGCGAGAATTAAATAAATTAATTTTCGGTTTCGTAATGCAAGTGTATTGGGCGTATATTTGATTTAATTTATATATAATATTAATTTCGCAAATAAATGAATGATGCCCTTTATTACTTAAGTAAAGTTTGTAGAAAAAATTAAATATACGAATAGGATATGAAAAATGCCTCACAGCGAATAAGCTCATAATTTATGTAGCCTAAGACATGCTGATATGACCTAAAGGCATTTAGAAAAATTCTGAAAAAGCTGCAAAACTCCCAAGCCTAGACAACGGCTGGCTATTTAGCTACCTACATATGTGCATACCATTAAGGCACTGTCCAGCAGGCAACAATATACGCAGCTGTCATATTCACCAAATTTTTGGGATAATTTAGATGAAAAAATACCTGTTTTTTCTTTAAATCCTGGAATTTTCTTACAGGAATTCACCTATAAATACTAACTAAATATTTAATAAACCATAGCCATGACAATGAAACCCTATGTATAGCCGAAGAAACGCCATCCTTGCAGCTGCTATTGAATAATCTGCTTCAAGCTCAATATCATTACGCTCATACTTACTTTAATAGTAGAACCACAACGCCAAGGCGCTTTAGCTACTAGTCGCAAGTCGGTTGGTTGCCCTGCAACGAATGCGGTAAGCATATTTTATGGTTGCGGATTGCATTCAAAGGACGGCCAATAGAAAGGAATTTCACAGGACTACAGGTAATAGGTAGGTAGTATTGAGTGTCAGACCGAAAGCGGTAGCTATACATAAATACACACGCACACGCTCAAACACAGTCACCATCACATACATATTTGCGATGCAGAGTAGTGGCATTGATAGCGTACTATGTATGAAGATACTAACAGTACGTAATAGAGAAAATTTCCACAAAAGCTGCTGCTGCTCGAATTTCTTCACGAACCAAGTTAATTTATTACGCCAAATGCCTTTGTGTAAATTTAGGAGCAAGGTGAAGAAAGAATGTAAAATAAGGTGAAAAATTGGATGGAAGTTAAGCGTGGATTTATATGAGAACCGATGCACTTAAAATAAGTAGAAAATTTAAAATGCACTGATAATACACAACGTATACACAAGTACAGTGAAACCTCGATAGAATAGAGTTTAAGGTGTTGCACAAATCCTACTAAGTCATATTATAATGTGAAAGTTTACTATTCTATACTGCATAGCTCTAGAGGTGTTTATGGTAGAGCACTGGGACTTGGTACTGGGATCAGTGTTGCCAGAGAAAAATTTCGTTTGGAGCTAAAACGGTCGAAAAAAAAGAGCTAAAAAGAGCTTAATAGTACTAATATTAGATGAAGAGCTATATATTTTTGTGAAGGTTGAGCATTTATTGACCCAAGGTTGTTTTTACATTCTCGGCAACTTTAATAAAAACGACAAATTTTATAAGTTTAAGTGCTGTAAAAATCTTTTAAAAGCAAACTAAGGTGCATATATTTCGAATTCGTTGCTATGGCACTTATAACAGTGAAATAAAAATACTTTACAAACTGTTAAACTCTGTAATTTCAGATATTTGAATTGAATAATTTTTTCGCGGAATGTTTCTCGAAAGTTTTACTTCAAGCTCTACTTAAAGGTAAAATTAGTAAGGAAGGTAAAACAAAATCCGCGCTACCAGAAAATGATTTCCTTCTCATTAATTTTTGAGTTCTTTAACCTAGATCCACTGCATCTCCAAATTTTATATTTGATCAACGCTGAAGTTTTGGCTTATATATACCAAATACAGCTAAAACTTTCTGGAGCTAAAAAAGTGTTAGATAAATTTGAAAAAAGCTAAAAAAGAGCTAGGAGCTTAAACCCAATTTTCGGAGCTAAATAGAAAAATAAAGACCTATATCTAGCTCCAAAAGCACCAAATTGGCAACACTGGCTGGGATATACACCAGGGGAAAAATTGTTCGAAGACAATTTTTTACATTAATGATTTATGAAAATATAGTTCATTCTATAATATAAACCATGAAGTTATATAAAAATCACAAAAATTAAAAAAATTTAAATTTTTTACTTTATTTATTTTTTTCGTCACGGATATTCCATATAAGCATGATTTTCTTATGAAATAAAATGCGGGAGATCATTAGCAACAAAATTTCAGAACATCAAAGCCAGTTTTTGTGAAATGCCCTGGTTATATAAATAACCGCAAAAGCAGTATCCAAAATAATTCTCAAAAATCAACTCGATTTTTAGCCGGTGGAAAGTTGCTCTTCATTCAAAAAACTAAAAACGAAATGGGCTACATAACCAAAAATTTTCTATAAGTTCTGTATAAAAAGTTGAAAATTTTGATAAAAATTTTTTTGAATTTTTGTGAACTTTATATAAAGTGTTAAACTTTGATTTATAGGGTTTATATTATAGAATGAACTACATTCGCATTCAGCCGTCATCGATTCGCCAATTCGCTGCTTGCTATGTTTTAGTTCCGGTTGCTTAACGAAACATTTTGCATGTGAAACAAGAACAAAATTAGCTAGCACGTATAGACGATAGCGACTTTGGTTGTACCTCATTGAGTTCGTTGGTTTCGCCACTTGCTAACTGTTGGCGAATCGATGGCCCACAGGTTACTAAATTTGAGCTGGAAATATTAGGAACCCGCCGCTCACGCAGCGTATCCCTGGAACCGTTGTAAGGTAAACTTAGAGGGATTGATACCTTTCGTATGCCTAGCGTGCATATGAGATTTTATAATTGCATAGTTTTAAACGGCCTACATAACTTAACTCGCTTAAAAAATATACAGCTATAACAAAATGGGCACAGAAATAAAATAAAACATCTTTAAATAATTTTTCATATTCGTATAAAAACGTGGGGTCAAACCCGCAGGTGCTTTAATAAATATTTCGTCTCCAGATAAATAATGTCGTACGTGAAAATTGGTCCAAATTGCGTTACTAAATAATATGGCCTTTATGGGTCGATTACAGATGACAACAGAATGTCAGTTGGGTAAATAAATAGGACCCGAATTTGCACAATCAACAACCTATGAGGCGGCTTTTGGAGTATTTGAGAGAAAGGTTTTGAGGAAGATTTACGCGCCTTTACGTGTTGGCGGCAACGAGTATCGCAGATGATGGAATGATGAGCTGTATGAGCTTTACAACGATATGGACATAGTGCAGCGAACTAAAATACAGCGGCTCCGCTGACTTGGCCAAGTCGTTCGAATGGACACCGACGCTCCAGCTCTGAACCCGCTGGTGGTAGCAAAGGATGAGGCAGGTCCCCACTGCGATGGAAAGACCAGGTGGCGAAGGACTTGGCTTCACTTGGCATTTCCAATTGGCGTCAGTTGGCACAGAAGAGAAACGACTGGCGTGCTTTGCTGAACTCGGCCAAAATCGCTTAGGCGGTTACAGCGACAAGGAAGAAAAAGTTAGGCCCTCTCAGCCTTTTGAGTAAATTAGATCATATTCCCACTGTTATACCCAGAAAAAGGTTCATTTATCAATCTATTTTTGGACCGCTTTCGTGTACAACTAAGCGTTTAGAAAAGTTAAGAAAGGTTAAAAACTCTAAATTACAACCCTTTTGTAGGCACCATCGAATATTTTATTGTATGTAATCGACGGCATGCAACTAAATTTGACTTTAATTTTTAAGAAACTAATAAAAACAATACTAGGCGCTGAAATTTGTTCCAAGTGTCCACTTTTTAGTCTGCGTCTTGAGATCACACAAATACATAGTCTTAAGCCGACCGGTAGGTGAAATTTTTTAGAGGCTCTTTGTTGGCATAAATACCCTTTGTTAGATATTGCTAGGATGCGGAGTACAATTTTCTCTACTTACTTAAACATTTAAACTAAAGCCACACTTACCTAGCGGCGCGAAGTAGAGTAATCGCCTTTTCGAATTGTTGATCACGCAAAAAGCGATGCAAACGCGTCATACAGTCTTCCCTGAAAATAAAAGAAAAGAAATTTACATTTCAATTTTAAAATAAAAACATGAAAGGAAAATCAGAATTAATCTAAACTGCGCAGAGAGTGCTTACATATCTACATGTCTATGTATGTACATTAGGGTGGTCCAAAGAAGTAAAGTCGGAAATTTAATGCTCTCACCCCCTAGGATTGTTCTATACCGAAAAAAATATACCCCTGTTTTTTTTATTTTAAAATCAAAATATATTTAGAGGTCGCTCAAGGCGCTCAAAGTTTCCCATGTATTTTGTATGGGGAAACAGACTTTTCGCAGAAATGGCATAGAATCCATGGAAATCAAAATTTTTCAATCTGAAAGCACTGCTTCTCTTCAGAAGACTTCAGAGAATAATGCCCAAGTGTTTATTTAAACATTTTTTAATTTTAACTATTTTTTAAGGGTTTCCGAAATATCCCAAAAAAAATCAAATATACAAACAGAAATATACAAAAGAAAAAAAGAAAAAATTGTTTAAATTAAACAACGTTTAAATAAACAATTGATCATTATTCTCTGAAGTCCTCTGAAGAGAAGCAGAGTTTTCAGATTGAAAAATTTTGATTTTCATGGATTCTATGCCATTTCTACGAAAAGTATTTTTTCCCCATACAAAATACATGGGAAACTTTGAGCGCTTTGAGCGACCTCTAAATATATTTTGATTTTAAAATAAAAGAACAGGGGTATACTTTTTTCGGTATAGAACAATCCTAAGGGGTGAGAGCATTAAATTTCCGATTTTACTTTTCTCCCATACATTTTTGGACCACCCTAATGTACATACAGTGCATGTATCATACATACATACTATATACTATACACGAAATGTGAAATCATCACAATACTCACGAGTATTGCACATAAGCGCATCCTAAAGGAAATACAACAATAGGATATCAATGAAAAAAAAACTAAAAATAAAGCGCACATACACTTGCATACACAACAAAAAATATTTAGAAAAGTTCAAAGGATTATAGCAGACATTGGGGACATGCGTGTTGAGTAAAGGTATACAATAAGATTATTGCAAAATAACATGTAACTACATATATAGATATAGGTGTACTTACATAAGAACGTTAGATATGTATGTATATACACTAGGCGAATAAGGAAAATGAATTAGCAACAAGAGTTTACGGGATGTACATAGCTCAGTGGTTAACGCTTCTGACTTTGAACATCGAATTCGCAGGTTCGATCCCTGCTGAAGTCTAGAAAAAAGAAGTCTGATGAGGAGATGTGGTGATCTCTGAAATAGTGCTATAACTTCTACCGCTTAGACTTTGTTGCTTTTTCAATTTTTCCTAATAAACAATCGTGGTACAAAGCTCAATAAAAAAATATTAAAAATAGCAAAATTAATTTTTTTTAATTTTTCGCCCTGACGTCAGGATTTTTTTCAAAGGACTTTGAAATTTTAAATATATGGTTAATTCAAAAAATTATTTTAAAAAAAATCAGTGCAATGTGGAATAACAATATGGGTACAAAATAAGACAAAACATTCTGTAGCATTTAAAAAAAAAAAAATTTTTTAAGCTTTTTGGTTTACAAGAACGAATAGGTATTGAAAATGCGCTTTTAATAAATTTAGTCTTTTTAAGTTAATAAAGTTTACACGACGAAATTCGTCAAACAATAATTAAAAAAAATATATATATATATATTGCAAATTCGTAATGGACATTTTGCATACCCAGTCATCCTTGCGCACCAAAAAATGTATTACGGCAGTGTTTGTAAATTGCACTTGCTACATAAAAAAACGCAACAGCAGTCCCAAAAAAAAAAATCTCAAAAATCAACGCGATTTTTAAGCCGGTTGAAACTTGCACTTCAATTGAATTGGCTACAAAACTGCACACCCGAAAATTTTCTAGAAATTCTAATCGCTTTAATTTAATCGACTAGTGTAAACTGCATACTCGAAAATTTTATAGAAATCCTGAATAAAAAGTTAAAAATTTGTATAACAAATTTTTGGATTTTTGTATAATTAATGCAGCAAATTTTTAATGGAAATAGTTGTGAATATTATATTAGAACAAGATGGACACTTTACTTTGTCGACTTGTGTAAACTGCATACCCGAAAATTTTCTAGAATACCTGAATAAAAAGTTGAAAATTTTGACGAAAATTTTTGGATTTTTGTGAACTTTTGATTTTCGATTTTGTGATTTTTGTGAAACTTTGTTTTGTATGGTTTTTATATATTTTATATATATATTTTCACAAAAAACAATGGATTACAAATTTTGATATGGTTTTTGTTCTCCAGACGCCACTATCCAATTTGTGTGTTGAATCCTCCGCTGATTCCAAAAATCGAGTTACTTTTTACAACGCTTTCATCAACTTGCAATGTCCTGTGTCCAGAAACTTTCAATGTTGTGGATCCAGAAACTTTCAATGTTGTGTGTCCGACACCAAAGCAAAGCTTTGAAAAGTTCCTATAAAAAAGCATAGTGCATAGGGCGACAGCTGTAGTGAATAGGGCGAGGTAGATGACATCTAGATGTCGCCCTATGTACTACGTTTGCTACAGCGGAAATAGACGACACGCCATTTCTTTAAATAAAATTAATTGGTGCTCGTTTGTATGTACATACATATGTAAATGCATGTGTGTGCACCTTTCTATTAATATCGTTGAATTATTTTAATATCTATTGCAAAATTTTATTCAGACAGGACTAAAAAGTAGAAAATAAATAATATAAAAAAAACTTTTTAATATACATAAAAAGTAGAAAATAATATTTCTCAGTCCCATAGAATTTGTTTTGATAACTTTTGATTTTGAAATTTTAGCAAAAGTCATTATAAACAATCTATGAAATTGAAAATGAAAAGCGTGGGCGCATGTAATACACTTGAATTGATATGAAAAGTAATATATGTATGTATGTATGTGGGTACATGAATAACGACCGCTTAAAATCGATTTCAAAGTTCTACTTTCGCTGTAGAAATTTTAGGTCTACGTTATGTAGTTTGACTATTGTCAATTAAATCGAATGCTTTGTATTGCATGCGCTCCACGTTTTTCATTTTCAATTTCATAGATTGTTTATAATGACTTTTGCTAAAATTTCAAAATCAAAAGTTATCAAAACAAATTCTATGGGACTGAGAAATATTATTTTCTACTTTTTAGTCCATTTATAAAAGCGTTGTATATTAAGAAGTTTTTTTTTATATTATTTATTTTTATTCTATGGATACGTTTTCGAGTTATTTTAAATTTACCGTTATTCAGCTTAAAACAAAAGGTGTCCCCACTTAATCACTTATATCTCATGAACCAATTTAACAAACTGAAAATGGAATACGACAAGTGAAAGCTAACAAAATTTTACAGAAACCGTCTATACGTCACTTTCTGACAAATTAATTAATCATTCCAATTTTTTTTTTGTTATGAAACAAAATAAGACTTTAGCAGAAGATAAATTACAAGTAAATTGAAAATATCTCGAAAACATATAAGTATAATAAAAAATTAAGCCGATTTTCGGAATCGGTTTATAGGAATTGGACCATTGAACATTTTTGCTGTAAACCAGTGTAATTAATGTAACAAAATTTTAATGATAATAATTGTGAATACTATATTAGAACAAAGTGAACACTTTCATTTCCCGCCTAGTGTATTTCAGATTAAGTACATTAGGGTGGTCTAAAAATGCATACCTGTGTTTTTTAGTTTTTACAAAAAAAAAATATATTTATATTTGATATATGGCGAAAAACACTCTTTCGTGGAAACGGTATAGAATTCTTGAAAATCAATATTTATCTCTTTAGAATACTTGCCAGTAACGATACCCAATTGTTTATTTAACCATCAAAGTTTTCCGATCGAGAAATATAAACTTGCAAAAATTCTATACCATTGCTACGAAAAAGTGTTTTTCACCATATATGCACGGTAAAATCATTGAAAACTTTATGGACTTTGAGGCAGTTCATATAATTTTTTTAACAAGAAAATAAGGGTATTTAGAAAAATCGTAGAGGGTGAGAACCTAACATTTTAAATTTTTTTTCGACCCTCCTAATGTACATACATATCCACTATGGTTTGTGAATACATACAAATTTGTACACTGGGATACATATACGTATGTGCATAGCATTTACCTGCTACATTTACACAAAGTGGCGCCTGAACTTGGCAAGTAAGAAATGCAAATGGAATCATAAAAGGAATTTAATTTTATAAATTTTCACAATGAAATAGGTAAGTATACAGGGTGCGCTCGACCACAATTCCACCGCCTTTAAAACGGAGGGAAATGGGATTTTTGTGGCAATCCCAGATTCGATCGGAAGCCCCTGAATCTCATGGTGAAAAATCCAATGAGGGAATTTTATCATGTAGGGATCTGCCATAGCTGATTGGCTAAAGCTATGTACGTACATACGACTACATGTTCAGTAGTTTGCGGGTTTATAAAATAATAAAGTTTCAAATATAATCCTATAAAAAATAATTAATAATTTTTATAAATAAACTGTTGACAAAGGAGCTTTATTGAAGAATAAAATTATAGTTGAAAAACTAAAAACACGCTTTTATTACAACAAGAACTAAAAAGTATAAAATAATTTGTAGATATAGCGATTCCGTTTAAGAAAAATAGGAAGTTCCCTAACCTGATTTAATTTAACTGTTTTAAATTAGCTAAAAATATGATTAAAGTGATTGACCCGTAGTTATAGTCAAAATAAAGTGCACTGTAAAGTTAGTTGCAGCTTTTTGGCATAACTTTCGATGGGATACCTGTAAAAAAAACTGCAACAGACTTTACAGTGCACTTTTTTTTGACTAAACTTAGGGTCAATCACTTTAATCCTATTTTTAGCTAATTTAAAACAGTTAAATTAAATCAGGTTAGGGAACTTCCTATTGTTCTTAAACGGAATCGCTATATCTACAAATTATTTTATACTTTTTAGTTCTTGTTGTAATAAAAGCGTGTTTTTAGTTTTTTAACTGTAATTTTATTTTCTACTTTTTAGTCTTTTGAAATCTTGCAGTTAATATTGTACTACATTTGACCTTAACAAACAAAATTTTCAATATATTTCAATTTAAATAGGTAATACACCTATTCTGAATATAAACCAAATTTGAGCACATATGCCGAATTTTTAATTATGTATATAGACTCACGCGCCACATAACTGCCAGAATTTTTTGTGTAGTTATTTCTTTTCATGTATGCAATATGCATTCTAAATGTGAACTTAATCGGATCATAAATACGGGTTTTCCAAATATCTCGACTCCTGCGCCACCTGTCGTCAAAATTTTTTGTGGATTTATTTATTTTCATATAGGTCATATATGTTCTAAATATGAACCACATCAGACTATAAATGCGGGTTTTACAAATATCTCGACTTCTGCGCCACCTATCGGCAAATTTTTTTTCGGATTTATTTCTTCTCATATACGTAATATATGTTCTAAATACGAACCAAATCAGACAATAAATGCGGGTTTTACAAATATCTCGACTCCTGCGCCACCTAGCGGATTAAAACATCTTTTAAATTGTATTGTCCTCGAGTTCTGAGCTAAGTTTGAAGCTTCAAGTCTGTAGCTCATCAGGAAGTTTGTTAAATATTGACTGCAAAGTTCCAGGACATACAAAGATACATACATACATACATACATACATACAAGTGAAGTTAAATAAAAGCTTGTAATAAAAACGATTTGCTTAAAAGTATTATATCTTACTTTTGATCGTCAATGCTTTTTTCAGCTGTCGCATCGAATGGCAAAGGTTGATCGTCCTCTGGCAACTGGAGTTCACAGGTGAGTACTACGCTTACTTCACCGGCGATTTCAGCCCATTTATTTGATAATTCCTCCTGAAAAAAAGAAAAATGAAATTTAAATTGTAAATGAAATTTGAATTGTGTAATTAAATATAAAGTCTCTAGGTTGTATGCACATTGGGGTGTCCCAGAATTTAAGGAGCGAAGAAAGATGTTTAACACTCCTGTACTTTCATACATTCTTTTTAGAGTTTGATTTTTTAATAAGTAAATTTTTATTTACTGCAGAGATTGAAAACTTTAGCAAAGACTTGCTTTCTTTGACTTTACAAGACAGTGCAGGACATCGATAATATAACTTCAGAGGATAAAATCCTTATAGTGAGAGAAGATGCTAATTATATGGCCAGTTTACTCTAACATTAATAAAAAATATCTAGTGATTACATTTTTGCTTAGTATTTCACGAGCATCCCTAAAACACAGTCGAACAACAATAGCCTAATATTAGCATGTTCATAAGTGAAGAAGAAAGCTGAGCGCCCAGTGAGCAGCTAGAGCGATATAACAAATTTCCTGCAATTAAAATGAGTTTACCATAGTTGAAACAAAAATCTTCCTAATCTCATATGGTGGTCATACAACAAAATACGCGTTATACAGTTACTGTATATTTAACTTGGATTTTCGAGTTCTAATGTGACACATTACGATAAACCACCCGAATTCGAGTTTTAATTCTCTAACTGTTATTTACTCAAAATAAAATTCTAATTACACAAGAGAGAACGAGCATTTTTTTACTGCCTTTGTTGCTCTATCTAAAAAATTTGCATATTTAATTGTAGTGCTGGTCGAAAATAAAATCCGATTTTATTGTCGATAAATTGTAGATTATTTTACTACAAATATAAGTAAGTGCTTTTTCCGATTTCCGCACATTTTTAGTAATTTACATGTGAGAATTTTCATTTAATTGGCAATGCCTGAAAGCAAAACAGTTTGTTTCGCAGATAATCTATTACTTAAAATGCATACATATGTACATATCGTCACCTGAAATGCAAAATAACGTAACAACATCGTCACTGAAATGGAAAAAGTCGTTACTAATTTTTACTTTTTTTTTTCATAAAACGACGTGGGAGGTGTAATTCGATGAAATCCATCATAGCAATCAAAAAGCGAATTTTGAATTTTTTATAAGTTACGACTTTTTGCATTTCAGTGATGATGTTGTTACGTTATTTTGCATTTCAGGTGACATTAGGGGTATTCTCGAAATCTTGCACGAGGCAATGATTGCACGAAATGCAAAAATACTATTCCAAATTTGGAAGGTTACGAGAGCACCCCATTGCAGAGTGGTAGCATACGTAAGTAGCAAGCAGCGAAATTCTGTATCAAATACAATAACAAGATACGGCAAAAAAAAAAATGAAGTGTGCGAGATGAGAGGAATGAGAGAAAAAATTAGCAATTCCAACAACAAAACAACTAGCACAGGGTCGCAATTATTTTGCTATGCTTTTTGCAAAATATATACATGGGTTTCGACGTTGCATATTTTGCAGCGATAGGAAATGGTATTTCCCATATATGTATTTTGTTGTTGTGCGTTTACAAGTTATGCAATCCGTGCTACGTGCAACGGTTTTGCAAGACTTGGAGAATACCCCTGATATGTAAGTACTAGATATGTGCTAATTAGTACATACCAGTCTATTCTAGTGCCCATGTACTATGTGTAATTTAAAAAGCCACTACCAAAATGAAACAGTGCGTTTAATATATTAATTCCGGCTTAGTTTTAGTATTCGTTTTCCTATTAAATATATATTAGGTATACTTAAATTCGGTTAGGCATACACTCCGCTTTACTTGAATAAGTACTAATTTACTCCTCGAGCTTTGAGCTTATCTGTATGGCTATGTATGAGCTAGTAAGACATGTGACGCCACACAGTGGGAAAATTTGTGCGGAATTAATTAATAACTGGAGTAATAATTAAGGTACCGCAATAAAAATTAGCGTATATGTAAATAGAGGCCAAAGAATGGATGAACACGCCCACTTTTCATACAAGTGCGCGGAATTAATTTTTAATTGGAGTAAAAATTAAGGTGTCTCAATAAAACTTAAGGAATATGGTAATAGATGACCAAGAATGGATGTTGTAGAAAATTGGCAAGATCGCAGAATAATCACACCCACTTTACATATAGTAGAAATAGGAAAACTAAGAAGGTGCGGTAGATCCTGGTGCTGCTGGTGTTTCAACGCACTTATGAATACCCCAATTGCTTGAAATGGACACATCACTTAAATCCATTTCAGAAATACTGAAAGCGGCTATGATTTCCAAGAAGATTTCCTTTAACAAGAAGATTTCTTAAGAACTCAAGAGGATATGCATGCGCATGTGTTGTGACAAAAGTTTTTATGAAAGCAATTCCTAAGAAATTAATAAAAATGTAAAACAAACGTTTTTCTTAAAGAAAAATATTAGAATTGAAAATGGCTGATTTTACCCACCATAAGAAAAAAAGCTGGGATGTGGTGGAACGAAATCCTTTTGGAATTTGACTTTTTCGAATGGATACTACCGTTTGAGCATAGTTTGATTGAGGCACAAATTTTACTGTTCCCCTGAGTTGCGACTTGCTACCCAGTATTTAAAACGAATAACTAGACCACCATTCAAGAAAAACCAATGGTTAGGAATTTTCTAAAGGCTGATTTTCACTATTTTTTATTTATGTCAAATTCAATGGCATTTGTCGTCTAATAAGTGAAAACAAATTGTCAAATGTGATTAAAAAGCGGTTTATCGATTGATTTGGATCCGGATAAGTCTTCAGTCGTGTACATGCGCTGCTAAATCGGCTATATGCCGGTTTTTTGCCTATAATATCATCGATCAAAGCATGGATAAAGGAGATAAAGTTGTGTCAAAATATGTCGCCAAATTTTGGCGTCAAAATTTGACATAGTGAAAACCAGTCTTAACTAACATATTTAAAAAAAAATAAAATCCTTTCTAAATTGAAGTCGATTGTTAATTTATTCGTCATTTCCAATGAGGTAGATATAGGCAGCTAAAAATAGTGTATTGATCCCAAAGCTTTAAGGGATCGTCAGTAATAAAAACCTAGCGGGAGCAAGTGGTGGGGCAAGCACTTTATATTACTTTCATTATTCAAAATCTCAATAATATTGAGCTTCTTTTTTCAGAATCATATTGTCACAAACCAAATAAAGTTACGCCAGCCTTTAATATGTCATTCAACACGGTATATAACGTAAATAAAAGTTTAAGGCTAATGTTCAAATCACCTATTAATGGTTCACAACTTTTAAATATTATATTCATATAAACTTTATGGCTTGATTCTCGAGCTGACTACTTGCAAAATTAATTCTATTCGGCTTTTTTTTAGTAGGTCATATAGCATCGGTATGTAGAAGGCAATCCGTGTACGTTTTTTTTTTAATAAATTTGCGCCTTGAATATCTTCGACAGTTTGAATTAATTCTGCTCAGTTTCCTCTGTACGCCGTCCTGTTGAAAAACATATTTTAAATCAACATTCCATGCAATTTGTTTATGAAATAATCGGCTTTTATGGCGCTATAGCGTTTGCCATTGTTGTGCATATGCTCTTGCATTTGCAATATATGGTGCATTTTCAAATTCACAACAATAAAATGCACATGGTTGCCGTGACAGCAAGGATGAAATTTGCAAATGTAATTCCAACTGCAAATGCAAGACCATTTCCACATAAGCCTGAACAGCCCTAATATTTTTCGATCGGAAAACTTTGCATCGCTTCACTAGACCTCCAATAATAATATGTACCCAATTGTTTATTTTACTATTTTTTAATACATATTAGCTCGTTTATATAAGTAGATCCCCAAAATACCATGCAAAATTACGCACTTATTCGCAATACAGGAGCGAGGAGGTATCGAGCATAACGAAGCAAAAACGTTTTGGTCCTATTCCCAGGACCTAAACTTAATAGGAAAAGTATGGATTCGGATGTTTTACAAAGTATACGAGTCAGACAATTCATATGATGATTGGCAGTTGTTCTTTCCCGCGATTAAATTTGTAAGCTGCGCCTCTAGATCTTGAGGAAGAAATGTGTACCTATTCAACTGATGCGCAGCGTATAAAAAATTTAACATTTTTGATAGGAAACGCATCGACCAAGGCTGCAACTTTGCGATATTATAAAACATTCAGATTTATTAAAGAATAAGTTTATTTCTATATATGTACAGTCCCTCACAGAATTATTGGCACTGAGAGTTTTTCCTAATGTATGCAACATTTTTCTTTTTTTTTATTATTTTCTGTGCCAATAATTAAGGGCGTGACCGTATGGAAGAGGTGTTTTTTTAGAGGGATAGAATTTCATAAAGGGATAGCTGTCAAACCAACTGGCAAAGTAAACACATGTTTTTTACATTTATGTTCTGCAAATTTATCATTCGCCGCATAATTGGCGAGATAAGGCCGTCTATGCTAAAAAAAGGAAGCGAAGCAAAAGTGGATCGACAGGATGGTCATCATAACAGGAGGCGATTTTAAAAACCAACTTTTATTTGAAAGAGACAATCGCCTGATGTAAATGGACTTTCAACTAATCACTTTCCATAAAATTTTTAAACTTATAGAGCCAATATATAACTACAGTAAGAAAAAAAGTATGGTGACTCATAGCAAAAACTTGTTTGCCTATTTTAAAGATCTTATAAATTATTTTTGCTGTAAAGCTAAATGGATATTATTGCTAGATTTTTCAACCGAAATTTTTCCTGTAGGATGGTTTCTAACTTGTGCAGAAAAGTTATCCTACGAAAAATTAAGGACTTTTCAGATATCTATCGAATCCTTCCAAATAAATACGAACATGTACGAATAATATCGATTTAGCCTGAACAACAAGGGGCAGTCCACAGGGTGGAGTGTTATATCCGCTATTATGGGACATAGTCAACGACAAACTGCTCCTGGCTTACTTGCCAGGGGTACGCTGACGGCACTGTAAAAATATGTAAGGAGAAATTAGAAAACACCC